TGCATTCTCGCTTTAAGAGCAAGTACAGTGCACCTGAGACTGGTGGGGCATTGCTCTGGTAGATCTGGATCGAATTGTCTGCTGTCTGCAAATTGTTAGATCGCACTTGCAACTGTCTGCAATGCTCTGCCCAGACGCACAGAAGCGATGCCCTCTATGCTCCTCAGTACTCTGTCCAACAGAGATCTCTAGAAGCCGTCGGCCTGAAGATGTGTCGAGAATTCGCTGTGCCCCTCTTGTGTTCATGATTGTTGCAAAATGTGACGAATTATGCCAGTCCAAAAAGGATCCTCCTGACCAGGAAAGGTACTTTTCTGTCTGGGATTCATCTCCCCGTCTTCGTCCCTCACCTGCTCCTCTAGGCCCCAATACAATTGAGAACTGCGAAAATCAACACAAAGGGAAGCAATGGTCATTTGCAGGGTCGTGTTGCATACTGTGCTTTGTATGACCAATGCCAGATTGGAGGAAAATGTGCCTTTGCAGCTTCAAGTGCATAGTCCGCACTTCAAGCATCGTTGGAATTTGCCCACAAGCCCCATGATGTCAACATGTTCTGGCTGCGCAAGGGGCTACTGTTGCCTTCAGCATTCAGGGGCGCTGTATGGGCCAGAAATGGCAACAGTATTCCAAGAGTGATTATATGTGGTGATCAATTGCTGATCCACATTTTGAAATAAGTGGGTGGCAGTGACCCAAGCAAAGCAGTTGAGAGTTCATTCCATGCTGCTCAGTGATATTGAAGTCCCCAGGAATGCTGGAGAAATGCGAACTTAAAAGCGCATTGTACATCACTGCCACAATACCATGAAGAAGTCTGTTGCCATTTCTTGACTTTGTCCAGATTTGGGATATCATTGTTGGTGCACCGTCGAGGACCATCGTTTCTCAATCCAAAATGCTTGTTCCAGAATTGCTGTACTCCCCATAGCTCAGTGGAGGCAGATGTGCATGGGCAGGTCCATGCAGTGCCTGTGGTCATGTGCATGACCCTTGGTGGCCTCGATTGGAAGAATGGCTTTCAACTACACCTGCACCTCAACAAGAGGTTGCCCAAGTGACTGTGGCAGGCAGCCTGGGGGCTATGCTGTCTCCCTGCTTGCTGTTGTCTTTTACTTGCCATTCTAGACTTTGGCAGCGCCATTTTGCACAGTTTGCTCGTTCAAGTTTTAGACACTTATGCTGAGCACAAATTGAAGCCAAGGCAAGGAATGCTGGATGTTGCAACATACTCGAGCGATCTGGGCTTGTGCCACTTACCATGATGTTCCAAGGTAGTAGATTGAACAAACTTTAGAGGAATCTTTCACTATTCCTGTCAGGCCTTGCCAAATAGCATATGAGCAACCTGCCACAATTGAGGAGCTTTTCTAGTGCAAGAACTTACCACATGTCACAAGTCACATTGACAAGGTTCAGGCAGCCTTGCACCTGCACTGGACTGCTGCAGAGGGCATGAGGCTGGGCTGTTGCTTTGCTGCAATGATTACACTCAAAATTCTTGAATCCGTACTGCCCAAGCTTTCCAATTTGATGTCCCTTATCGTGCCTTTGGTCACAGCCACTCTGCAACGTGTAGGTGATTGAGACTGGTTTTCTTGCTGAGGCCGGCCCCCTGGAGGTGTTCGTTTCCATTCACTGCATCCCTGAGGACTTCAAATACATGCTGTCTGGTGAGCCGGAATTTGTGTCCGCTGACGAGTCCATCCGCATCCAAGAGGGCACTGACGTGCGGCTGCGCATCTTGAGCACCAAGATCGACACTGCGCAGATCGCCTGTGTGGGCACCATCAAGGAGGACTACCTGGGCGTGCTGGAGACCTGAGGCCTCATGGCCTGGCCCGTAGATGGCCACTGGGCTAGCAGGCACAGGCTGACACTCTGATGCTCTGTGAGAATTGGCGGGCCAGCGAATGAGCTGGCATCAGGGGCAGTAAAGGGAAGGCACCAGGGGAAGAATGCAGCGTCTGGTGACGTTGTGCCTTGTACGGTGACTGTTCAGCACATCTGCAGGTGACATTGCTCTTGCGCAGAGTTGGTGTCTGTGGCATGCATGTAACCGTGGCGTGTCTGTGGTGTGCACACAATGTGCTTGACTATTAGCGGTGTGTCTACTGGGAGGCTACGGTGTGGATTTGATCCTCTGCAGCACGACTATGGCACTTTTACGTAGTGAACTCCATTTCTGTAGGTTTGCCTACATTGCATGCACTTTACGGTCCGTGTTTCAAAGGGACGCAATACACACAGAGCTGTGAAAGGAGCCAGATGTGGGATTCGGTGAGGTGGGCTGCGATAGAGGGCTGACACCAGCCGGGTGCGCGGATACCATTGCCCACGTGAAACAAGGACGACGCTCCAATGGAGGGATGCAGAGGATCAGATTGTCGATATCCCACACAACAACCAGTTGGCCTTTCTTGAAGCCTTCCCAATTGTGCGAATCGCACTGTTGAATCCGCAGAAGTTGTTTTGGGAATTGGGACGTTGATTCGAGGTTTCCGCTGGGACTGCAACTGCGCGACAGTGGCATTGCATTTGATGCTGAAACTGTTGTGAGATGAGGGAGATCAACTGTGAGGCAAATCAGCTGGCATGAGCCCCGCACATGTTGTGCCAGGGAGGGGCTGGAACCTGAAGTTTGAATGTGATGTAAAATTTGGAACTGTCTAACTCTGTGTTCTACGCCCATCTGACGAGTATCAAGCCCATTTTCCACCCATCGTGATCTGCAAATGCTCAGGTGAACTGCGCCATTGGAAGTCTGTACACGTAGAGTTGGGCAGTTGTTGATGATATGGACAGAACTGGGTACAGCGCGATTTCCTTGGAGCAACTCGTGCAAGGCGCACACCCCCTCATCGCCTTCACGCACCACCATGTTCAATGCCAGGCGGCGTGCTGCTCTGATACCAAACGGTGCCAAAATTAAAGTTTTCCTTTCCGTTTACCTTGTTGTGAACGCGTATTCAGGAATTGGCCCCTTGGAGCCAATTGCAGCTGCAATTCACAGGCAATCACAGCGGAATTTAAAACACAAACTCTCCTCCACCACCTCCTTTCCTCTTCTCGTTCTTTGACTTGTTGGTGTTCCTCCCCCCAAGTTTCAGCCGCTGCTGTTTCTTTACCCGCCTACGCTGATGGCTTCTCGCCCACTGCTGCACCTCCTGCCGCACCAACCACGCCAAGCAGAGTTTTAGCGGCAAAGCACGAAGAAAACATGTCCACTGTTGACTGCGCTGCAGTAATAACACAAGTGCTGCGGTGTACTGCAATTTGTGTGCCCATCAGATTGCGCAAGGCGACGACATTATTGGTACGGCACTTACAATAACATTAAATGCGACGCAATCTACTGGGATCCAAAACGACTCGTGTAACTGCCGCATGTCAGCATTCGTACACAGTATTCGCTGGCGCCATGCGTTGGTCATCTGGTCTGGAATTTATGCCCAACATCGCCTATAAGGTGCAAGGGCAGTGTTTTGTCATGTTCATGTGACAAATGTAATCAAAGGATCTGAGCTGTTGTCATGGCGTCAGAAAACAAAGGAAAGAAGAAAAGAAAGAGAAAAAGGAGAAAAAAACAAGAAGCAAAACGCCCAGTGGGCCTCCCCACCTTATGGGGAGCTCCCTGCCCACTCTGGCCAAACGCCTGAGTTCCCAACTCGGCGTCCTTTCCGCCGTCTCTCCCCTCCTGTTGATTGCTGGCATCTGCGACGCCTTCCGCCCTCCTCGCCATCTCCCGTCGGGCCTCATCATCATCTACACTGGCGGGAGCGTCGTCGGCGCTCCCACCGCCGCTCTTATCGTATGCAGGGATGTCGTCCTCATCATCCACGCTGCAGAAATGAGAAGGACAACATCAACAGTCGATCAGAAGCCAGGAGTGGCAGCCACATTCGTGTTTGCAGGAGCAGAAGAGAGCGCTTTCTCTTGTTGATTCTATCATGGAATGAGACTAGTACTATTAGTACAGCCCAGTACTCTTAGTACACTTAAAGTGTTGTTGTTCGACAAGGGATGCACCATTGTATGTCTTTCAACAGTCTGTCCACGCAGTGGCAAAGTAGAAACAGATAAGAAGAAGAGAATAAGACGGCGTTGCTTCAGCAGCATCCAGCGCAGGACGCCACCAACGAGCTGCAACAACGACAGCCAAAGCGCACCATCGCTGCAGGCCAGCACAAACTCCAGAAGTACCACAACTGCAGCTAAAATAGCTGAAACAGAAGTTGTCCCCACGCAATCCATCCCATGGCCACAGGACTGCGCTCACTTGTCTTCGCTCTCCTCCCCTGAAGAGGCAGCTTCTTCCTCGCTGCCCCGTGCATCCGCGGCCACATGCTCAGACAGGATTTTGCGGTCCCGGGCTTGAAAGCCGGATGCCGAAAGTTCAACGTCTAGGGGGCCCTGGCAGACGTCACCGCCATCCCCTGTACCCCCTCCCTGGCCCTCCGATGACCTTGAAACTATTTCGTCAAAGTCGGGCCGCACGCACTCCAGAGACTCGTCCTCTTCCGGGTCATAGTGGAGCTTGTTCTGGAAGAATCTGTGCAGAACAAAGCGAATGTGGATCCAAACAATGACAGCAGAATCTACCAAATACAAGATAGTACAGTACAATGATAACATAATACATTTTCTAGTGCTGAACAACACCCCACAAGTATAATGGACACAACAGAAATAGCAGTAAAAGGGTAGTCAGAAAATAAAAGTACATGACTCGTTCTCCTCTTGGCCATACCGAGTGGTGTTCGTTCTGAAAGTAGCTGGCACGAAACACAAAATGGGACTTGAATAGCCAGAGCATTTTCTGAAGGCTGCACGCCCCCGTAAACCACCAAACACGACATGTAAATCTCAATCAAAAGGGTGGCAAGAACAACCAGGCACATGATTGAAGAAAGGCACAGGCACCTCGAAGGCACCGCCAGGCCAATTTCACACAGCCACAATTCGGTCACGTCGGACCAGCAGATGGGAGCCTGCTTCCCAATCATGACAAACTCGGTGGATCACTTCACACCATATGGGCACTTGCTTAAATCGCGTTGATTGCCAAAAGCTACACATCATCAACGTACCATGAATGGGAAGGGAACCAAGCACTAACAACCACGATTTTCGTGTCAATTGGCACTGGCAGATGAGAACCGTCTTCCTCACTTTATCAAACACTCGATGTCCCGATCAAAGAGGTGCTTGGCGTTGGGGTGCCGCACAGAGATCATCTGTGGAAAGTCGATCATCGTGATCTCCTCGTCGTCGTCTATCATGACGTTGAACTCGTTGAAGTCACAGTGCACAAGGCCGACCTCCGCCATGCGGACCGCGCACCGAATGATGTCGGTGTACACTTTGTTGGGGTTTTGGACACGGTGGACCTGGACAATGGGGTAGCCTTTCACAAGGGACATCAGGACTGCGTGCCTGCCAACAGAGCACCAAAGGGGTGAGAAAAGAATGGCGCAAGTGTGAGAAAATGTGAGAAAGGGTGGACAAAGAGGACGAAAAGGCAAATACAGTGGACGTATGGGAACAGGATTGTGGGAGATGGGAATGATGGCGGATCGACATGCCTAGTGCTGGGCAAAGGCTGGTGTGACGACGAAAACACACAGCCCTGATGCTGCAAGGCCGTGCACCACTTGCCCCTCAATATTGTGGGGATTTGCCAATCGGGCACAGTTCGTGAAATCCTTGAAGAACACTGGAATGTGCACTGTGTTGGTGTTCAGGATTAGTACACACAGGTCCACAAGCCAAACGTGCCAAACCACACTGTGAGGTGTGGTCCATGTGTCCAACCATCCATCACAACTGCCGTAGCGCCTGACATCGTCCATTGGTACGAAGGCAGTGACTTGCAATAACAAGATGAACCAAATGAGGGTCCACACACCAGCAGTCAACAGAGTAGATCTCTTGAGTTCTGTTCAAGGGTACAACATGAGATGAAGATGTCTCTCTTTTCCAGGACACAACCTTGCATGTGCGCAAGGGACGGTGGAGGAAAGGGCCTTTGAGAAACGTCTGTGACAGACAGTCCTTGTGACAATTCTTGCTGACAACAGAAATGTACCAGAAAGGGCTGCAGAGGCCTGATGCACAAGTTATGCGTCTACTAGCATGCTCAACTACAGTGACATTGTGAGATTATAAGAAAAGAATGCAGAAATCAATGGGACTGCATATGCTGTTCTTTCTGCATTCATTCTAATGGAGAGAAACTTCAATGTACACCAGTCCAAGTAAGCACCAACGCTGGCCCCAATCCCCTTTCATTGTGAGTGTGGTTATCATTATGTTTATTCCATGCAACCTCAAACTTCAAGGGAAATCTAGGTTGCACTCCACTGGGTAGCCACAACTCAATGGACTGACTTGCATTCACCTTGAACCGATTTCATGTCTGATGGTCTACGATGTGGTTCACGGTTGTGGCATACCAGAAATGTTAAAAACTTGTGGCCATATGCTGATGTGTGGTGCAAACCCAAGTGACCAAACAAGAAGGGTTAAGAAAGCACGGGTTCATCGTTTGCCTATGTTGACGTTGTCTTACTAGCTAATTTCATACGTGCACTAAGCACGTGGGGTTTGACTATTTTTCCAAAAAGCACTGTGAGGCCATTGGAGTCCACTGGTAATCAGACACTGTCTGACGATTTGATTCAGTACAGACATCTTACATGACCATTGTTTCATAATTGCATGTTGTCATTTTTTTCAGGTTGTGTTCATATATTTTACTGTCTGATTGCAGCATCACAAACGTTGTCTATTTTGCACTTTCCCTGCAACATACAACCATTAACAATTTACCTGTTTTGGTCCAGGGCCTCAGGCACCGGGAAGCCTCTCTGCCCCAGGGCCTTCATGAATGCGTACTCCCCCAATGCTGACAAACGGGACAGGTACAGCCAGCTGAATGAATTTCTGTGGCGAAGATAGTCCCGCTTTGTCTTCACCGCCCTGAACGATGTGCGTCCAAGACGGTGCAGCTTGAGTATGAGCACATCGCCATCCTCGTTTGTTGCCTGTGAACACATCACACCTCCACATCAGTCGCATCAGGCCCATCAAGCAGAGTTGAACTTTGCCTGGCAGTGAGTGCCAGTTGCAGTGTCACAGCATACTATTGTGTCTCAACAAGTACAAACAAAACACCAGAACATCATCTTGGTTCATTTTGGAACTTTTAAGGGGAGATGGACAGGCTCTGTGGTACAAAATCGGGGTGGATGGGACTGTGATCATCATGACACTGTAAGGGATAGGTCGGTGCTCTCATTTTGGGGTAAGACACATTGAGACTGATATCATCAAGAAATAGCACAATCCCGTCAACTGCACAGCCTAGGGCAGACCTAATTTTTTTGCCTGCAAGGCAATGATGGGCGTTTCAACGTCTGCAGCATTTGTTCCCACTCTGCGCATGGATTTCTTCAACTGCAGCTGTATCAACTGTGCAAACAATTTGCTGGGCTACTGGTGGCTACTGGTGGAGGCAATCAGAGACAATGTTCTCTCCACACAGGCACTGACAGTCCAGGATATGAGCATGTTTGAGAGGAAATAGACATACAGTCAGACCTGTTGCTTAGGGATGACTGGCGCCAGTTTGTCCCCTTGCCAGGCAGGCAGGTTTCAACCACCTGTACCACAACTATCCAGAATCCCATGTCCCTTGGTATACTTGAGCTCATCAACCCTTCCTTCCCATTGCACATTGCAAGCCTGACCAGCATTTCTGCTGGCAAGTTAAGGATACACAATGCTATGACCTGCTGAACCTCAATCCACCATAATGAAACACAACAATGCAGCAACCATATGAATGTGATGAGAAAATCTGCAAAACTGAAATAGCCATATTAGTCAACAAAACAAGTGCAACTAATGCAGCACACAATCCCAGGCACAGCGTTCAACTGTGACTATATTCAATCGAACGGCCTTCACCTCAAACACATCGGACTCCTTTCCCACACCAATCTGCCTGCCGATCCCCGTGATTGAGCCACGCTGCACAAAGGTGCGGAGGGCAAGGTAATCGTAACCCATGTACGTCAAGCGGTACCCATCATAGTTCCTGTTCTCATGATGGACCAGTTTGTGCTTCAGGAGCTCACGAAGGCACCTGTGTGTCCCGCCCCATCTGCACACAAACATGCAATTTCCAGTGAGCTGGTGTCCTACCTGAAACGTGAGTCATGGACTGTCTTCTTGCTGACAAGAAAGTATATCATGGCATGGGCCCCTTCACCCCCACCCACCAACAATGTTTGTGTGAGTTGAAACTTGTGTTGATAGAGATAAAAGACAATGCAGAGGTTTCTAAGCACAAGAGGAGCAGCACACAACGTACACATGGTGAGTAAATGCAGAGCAGTGTCCCACATTTCAAATTTCCAAAATTGTGACGTGTACACTCACCAGCGGAAATGTGAATGGAAAGCAGAAACATATTTTTGCAAAAGGAGAGGATAATGTGAAGTGTGGGGCGCAGTTCAGATTACACGACAGAATGCGGTTTCCATTGGGTCCAATGCCGTTGACAATGTGCTGCACACCAAACAAAGCACGCCAAAGAAAAGGAACAATGCAAAGCGATATTCTCCACTGAAGAATGGATGACATAATAAATCTGCCTCAGCCCCCCAACCCCCTTTTTCAATCCCAATCCTAACGCCGCCGCCTTCAGATTTTCAACACTCACTTCAGCTTGGCGATGCTCTCCACCAGCGGGATTGGCACGATCACGTGCTGCGCAGAGTGAAAGCAAGGCCATCAGCGTTTCACGATCCCGCCACACAGCCGTCGAGGCAGCCGCGGGCCGCCACACGGCTCCGCGCTCACAAACCCTTGCGCCAACACAAGCCGCATCCGTGAAATGCCTTTCGATTCGATTCCATGGGTGCATTTGGCAATGCGCTTGCACGAGACAGCGACAACACATCCTCCAATGGCGGCGCCCCGCGCGAACTGCCCAACGATGACAAAACTCACGTTCCTCTGGCCCATTTCGACCGCCGTGAGCACCCTGAAGTCATCCTTGCTGAGCAGCCGCAGCACGCTGACGTCCAGCTTCATCGCGCCGGGACGCCCCCCAGCCGCGCCACTTGCGGGCCCAACCGACGAGCTTCAGCGGCAGGCGGCGGCAGCCGCGACCTCAAGTGGGGTCTGCCCCTCCCTCTGCGCACCAGCACGTTGCCCTCGAGAACCAGTTTGTGCTGTGCCCACTGCACAACGCAAATTACAGAGAGAGCAAGGTAGTGGCTAAGCACACTGGGAGCGGAGTAGCGATTGGCCTGAAGTACCCAAAGAAGCAACACTATCGGTAAAACAGCGCCTGGGGACCATTTGGAACCGGTTGACGTCGGTGTCTGAAGAGATAACCCCCTCTGTTCCTCGCAGCTTCTAATCAGGGTTTCCCTCAACAGTCCTGTTGTTGTGCCTGCTGTCGTGCCCGGCGAACCACTCCGGGGGCGCCCACGCCTGCCCCCGCCCCATCCCCACCACGCCCTTCCCCCTCCTCGACCACCGCGCCGCCCTCCAGCGATGAACCCTCTGACCCAGATCAAGAACACGCAGAAGGCCACCCGCCGCGAATGGGCCCTGGGGATCGGAGATTCCGCCTCGTGGCACGCGCGCTTCGCGCACTCGGCCTACGTCTTCGCGGGGGGGCTGAATTACGAGCTGACGGAGGGGGACCTGCTGGCGGTGTTCGCGCAGTATGGCGAGGTGGTGGACGTCAATTTGGTGACGGACAGGGAGACCGGCAGGTCGAGGGGGTTCGCATTTGTGGCGTACGAGGACCAGAGGAGCACCGTGCTGGCGGTGGACAACCTCAGCGGCGCCAGGGTGGCGGGTGCGTGTGTGTTGCGCTCTTAAACGCTGCGCGTGATCCTTCAAAGAGGTTTGGAACGAAGGGAAGGAAGAAAATGCGAGACAGTGACACCACAGTCATTGGAGAGGGGAACGTTGGGGGTGGGGGTGGGGAGGGGGGGTGGGGGGTGGGGGAGAAGGATGGCGAAGCTCTTTGGGCCACCGTTTCGTTGACGACGATCAGAGTTTCCGACAGTGGGTCCTTCCATGGCGGGATTTGGGACAGTGGTTGCGAACAGGTGATTGGGTGCCCTGCCCTCGAATGGGGCATAGGCCTCTTGATGCCTCGATGGATGGTGTAGTTGTTGTGCGGATGTGTTCCCTCGTTCCAGAGTGTTGCGGTAGGTTTGAGAGTCCAGTTGGCGCCCCCGTCCAAGCCAGACGAGATGTGGTCGTTGTGCCAGCTCGCAAGGAGGTGTGGAGTGATGAAAGCCCAAAGGAATGATCACACGGTGGACTCCTGCTTTTGGTGTTATAGTCAGTAAACAGCAAGGCTCAAAATTGTGCAGCATGTTGTCTCTGTCCTGTGCTACCGAATCTGCAAGGTGCCCACAGTGTAAGAACTGCTCTCAGTGTTCACCGGTGAGGCGAGTGGGCTTGCAAACATTGCCAACTTGGAGGGAGTCCAGATTTTTTCAAGATGTTGTTGACTCCAGGCTGACAGGAGACAAATGGTTGCAACTTTGCAAACAGCATGGATGGTTGCAAATGGCATGTTATGTGGTGCTTCTGAGAACTGGGGCTTTTGACGGCGATCAGCAAGTTACTGGGGCACAAGGAAGCGTCGCTGCCTAGTAGCAATGTTTGAAGTGCCCTTGGAGAGGACAATATGTGCTGTTCCCCTTCATCCGCATCCCAACATTACACGTGTTTTGCAGTGGACAGACTGCAGCTTGCAGCGCCATCTTCACAAATGCCATTTCGAAAACAAAATTCCAAGGTACTCCTATGGTGTGCTGTGCAAAAAACTTGGCACCATGAATGACACGTAAGGAAGTTCTGTGTTCAGAGCCATGCATAACATCAGATGCAGCAGCAAGGGGCAGTGCTCTGTAACTTTTCAGCCCAAGCGATCGAAGAACTTGCACACTGTATCAACAAAGATGGAATGTGAAATGCACACATTTGTAACAATGGGACTGATGTGAGGCGTCCCTTCGAAACGGCAGGCAGGACGATCCGTGTGGAGCATGTGGACAAGTATAAGATGAAGCAGAAGGAGGTTCCTCAGGCAGAGGCGGTGGGCGGCAATGCGGAATGGGAGGGGCAGCAGCGGAGCCGACCAGACAGGAGCGCGGACGATGTAGGGAGGTGGCAGCATGACAAGTTCCATGAAATGGAGGCAGGGAACACAGAGGCCGGAGAACCAAGGGCAGGTGAGAACTGTAGATGTGTGTAAAATACATTCATACTGCAAATACAGAAAACAGCTTGGTAAGACCAGATAATAACACTCATGCTTTGGCTGCATGTTTGGACGGAATTTTGGACTGACAATCATTTTGTGCATTTGATCCCATTTTACTTACCTTTGTTTCCAGTACTACAATGAAGATGCATTGGTCAGTGGCCACACGTTGATCAAAATGTTGCTCCCTGGGCTTTTGCAGGTGTGGCTGTGCACGGCAATGGCGACGTACCCTTGGGCCCAGTGTTTCAACAGATGAGCCAGCACCTCAAGGAAACTGCCAAGAAGCTGGTGCAGGAAAAGCAGGGCAGCAAGCCAGACAGTGCAAATTTCAAGGTGGGATGCCAGTGACAAACTGACAGACAGCTGCACATTCTCACTTATTTTGCTCAAAGTTGCATTATTTGCTGCAGCGTTTGTAGCAGCATCATTGTCCCTTCCATGTTTCAAGCATTGCAGATGTGTGGATGTATGCATCCACTGTCGCACTGTTGATGCGATCGCATGCCAGTGCATTGATTGACGATCAATTTTGATTTCTCACTGCATTCATTGTGGTGAAATGTGCTGGGCTGCATCCATCAACACAATCATGCGCTGCCAGTACTTTGTAAGCCATAGACCTCTCCGCAGGTCGCCTGAAGAAAGTCCTTTCATGGTCACTTCAATGCACAACATTGTAAGAAAAAGTCGCATTTACCCATTTTGAACCAGTTTGCAACCAATCGATCAGCAGGAAAATGAAGTGGGTATTGAAACACTGGGTATTGCTGTGCCCACATTGGGATCAGGTGAAGAGGAAGAGGGACGAGGGGACAGGTCCAGGCAGCCGCCATGGCAGCTCCCCGAAGCGGCACAGCGGGAACATGGGCGAGTCCAACAGGCCACAGCATGGCAGGGCCAGGGACGATATTGACAGGCCACAGGGACTGCAAGGCCAGGCACAAGGGCGGGGAGGCTCCCTGCTGTCTTCAGGGAATCAACAAGTGAAAACTCCTTTCCTGGAATATTAACTCGGGAACCAGTGCTCGCTCTTTCAGAGCTCGCTTTCAAACCACTCGAGCCTTCCCTAGATCAAGAAAAACTATCCAAAGGAAACCAATCAAGGCTGCTCAACACTCGCTTGTCGAGAAAGGCATCGAGAAACAAACAGGACAAAAGCTGGAAATAAAACAAAACTATAGTCCTCAACTAAAGAAAATCAAAGAAATCGAGACAACTCGAGGATCTTTCAGGGATCATGAAACTAAGCCAAAGGCTATCAAAGCAACTCGCGCAAGGAAAAGAAATCACCATCAAGCTCATCCACCAAGCTAAAACAAGCAGAAACAAGTTTCAGGCTCACAAAATCAAATCTCCGGGATCGTCGGCGCTCATGTCTTAAATATGCCAGCGCTGGGCTCGTCAAGTTAAGCAATGAAGTATCAGTGGATGCCAGGAGTGCGTCAAGTGGTTGCAGGACCCGCTGCCTCGTGACTCTGCTCTGGCTGCTCTTTTACTTCAAACGTTTATGCATTCATATGGAATGAAGCTTTTTTGTTCACCTCAACCCACCAAACTGCTGCTCAGGACACGCTGGCTTGCCAGTTCTGTTGTGCATGCGACGTCAATCACCACAGGCCTTCGTGGGCGCAACTCTCCATCCATTGCAACTATCAGCGAGGATGGGCTGCGGCCCATTCAGCTTGGTGCATTTTTTGAATCCAAGTATATGACGTGGAATACGAAATTCAAAGCCACTTTGCTTCTGCATTTGAAAACATTACAAAGCCTTGAGCATGTGTCGTGATGCCAGGCGCTGCTCGTACGTGGATGTGTTTGTTTCCATGATGATTTCAGTTTCCTTCCGGTGCCCGCCAGGCTGCTGTTGGTCATCTGCTAGGTTCATATGGTCTTCACCTTTTGTGCTTTTGATGACTTTACAGGGCATTCCGAGGTCCCTTGATCGCGCAGAATGAATACATACCAGGATTGACACAAGATCCTTGCATCTTGTATGGCGTTCCTTTTGGTGCAATTGCACGAAGTTTCGCTCGCGCCGTGTTCTTCACCGGAGTTAATTCTCACACTGGGCATAGCACACTGGGTTGTAACCACTACACCATGCCTCTCACACCACCATGAGTGTGATGTTCTCCCGAACAGACGAGGGATATCCAAGAATGTGGATCCTGTTTTCATTTGAGAATGCAGCAAATTTGCTTCTCCTGAATCGATAGCATCGTGCTGCAAGCTTGCCGATGTGTATTTGTGGAAAGCGACAATGCGATCATCAGACAGGATATTCTGGATAAAAATAATCAAGGAACTATGACAGGGGAAAGTGTTGGTGAACTTTTATGCTCATGAGCAAATGCCGGCGCGAGTTTTGAATTGAGGCTTAGATCATCGTCGCAGGCTACAGCATCACTGGCTTGCACCAACATCGAAATCCCAATTTTCCTTCCACACATATCATTTGCAAAAGGTTCGGCCCTCATATTGCTGTTCTGCCACCAGGGTCCAACCTCCTGCGACGTCGCAGCCCCGTGGCCCGTGGCTTCGGTGGGGGAACTGGGAGCCCTGCCGACGCCATCGACCGCCCCGGCGAACCCCAAACCTCCTGGCGATAAATCCCGCTGACGCTGATGACGCCCCACCATCCTTCCAGGCCTTACCTGCGACGTCGCAGGATATTGGGCCTTACCTCTGTCCTGCTTGCGATTGTTTCTCTGAATAGATCAATAGACCAATTGATCCCTGGACATCGCTCCCATCACGGCACTTTCCGGAATCACGAATCTCATCAATAAGGAATTTTCACCCCTGCGACTTCACCACTGACACCAAACCCGCAATGCTGTCCCATCGGCAATGAAACACCTCCAGTTTTTCATTTCTTCTGGCGGCCTGCATTCGATGTAGGCCGCCAGCAGAATCGAAAAGGTGCTGCAGGGAGTTCCTACCCTCTAGATTCAACTTGTAGCACTTCACGTACCCGTAGCTCTCCCCCACCCCCTCGCAGTGCAAGTCTTCCGCACCTGCGTCCGCGTCCACGAAGGGTGTCCCGTTGCTGAGAACACCATGGGGATGGTACCCATTGACGCGGAACTGTCGACTGTCCAAGCAGTTCTCCGGCGCGACGCGTCCCACCTCCGGTGGGCTGTTCCTGCCCTCGGCAGAATCGAGGATTTTCGCGCGCACCCACATGGCTGGGAGGCCAGGGCTGCAGGTGTGGGTGCTTTACCCAGGGCACAGAAAAAACACACCTTAGTGAGGGAACCGATCTCCTCTCCGGGATGTTGATGGCGAACGTGAGCGACAGATGACTTTCGGGTGCGACACTGATGCAGATTGGTGGGTTACGTGTGCGTTGCGTTTGGTATTGGCGCGTGCAAGGACGAGGCCGAGCGGCGCGCTCCTGTCATGAACTCGTTTCTTGTCTCCTCGTCACTATCTGCATCATGCTGGTCGCGGGTATTCTGGTGGCCCCAAGAGCGCGCCCCGGCCCGGTGGGCATCCACAATGTAGCAGTACTCTGACATTCACTCTGACGCCGCGTCGCATGTGCTGGCCTGTATTCTCCGGCTTCAGTTGTGCAGGAGCCTAGCACAAGAATTTGTTTCATTGCTTTGCCGAACGAATGTCCGTACTACAACATGAGTGCAATTGGCGGCGTGGGGAGCGTTACTCACAATGTATGAAGCAACTAACTGTGCAGCGAGCAGTGCATGTGCACATGAACTTCTAATTGGACTGGGCTTGTTTTCCAGTCCTTCCGTCGGCTCACCGTATGCCGGACACATTTGGACAGGTCGCCCTCGCCAAGCGCCGCGCGAGGATGCTCTGATCGCAACGGGGGCGCGTGTCGGGCATACGCCACGGGTCCCAAGCCCCTCTCTGGCCACAGGTGCGTATATTAAGGGGCGCCGAGTCGGTCGCACATTTGACCCGGGCTGCCACGTACGGCCGATCCAGACAGTGCGCATTGTCTCATTGAGCTCAATGCTGATGTGCTCACTACCAATCCGAGGGTTTCGATGAAGCTGCGGTTTACTTTGTCAAGCCAGCGAGATGCCGGGCCTTTCCTCTCGAAAGGGCGCACTCGCGCGAAGGGGGACATCTTCCCAGCGCTCACCGACGCAACGATCGCCGCGATAGCAAACTTGGCCATGTTGGCTGCCAGCCGTTAACGCAAACGGAGACGGCGACTTCTGCCAAAGGCGCTGGGAACGCCGTGTAGGCGGCAACGGGTCTGTTCCTTGTAGGATCCTCTTCCGGAAGAGCGCTGGACATGCGCCCGTGACGGCTGGTGAGACAGTCGAAGGGTTGAAGCAGAAGATGGTACATCGTATTGGGAGCCCATGTGCAGGGATCGAACGCGCCTGATCGTACGACAAACTGGCGCTTGCTGCTGAACCCCAAAGCTCTATCTGTTGTGCAGTCGTCGAGTGAGGCTATCTGAAGGGAAGCTTTGCACGTTTCTGACAAAGCACGGCTGTGGACACATCTAGTGGGGGATACGCGTCCCACCCTGTGGTCGAGGGGCTTTGTGGTGAATGGAGCAGGAATTGGATGTCCCGCATCACGGATATCAAATTCTTGGAATAAAGGCGTGAAAAGCAACCACACTCTGGGTGCGCTGCGAATGCCATCAAGCGGCCGTACAAGATCACCAGAGGGCGCCGCCCGCAAGAGAAGCTTCCAGCCTCATGTAGCGGGAAAGAGGCTTTCGTAGAAGCCGCAAAAGTCTCCGAACGTGCAAATCGATCATTCCACCACGTCACGCGTTCCTTGGACACCTGGGCCGAGACGAGTATGGCCGCACTGCGATGCCTAATCGGCCACCTATCGCACTTCCGCCTCCACTGGCGTGGGGTAGCTGTCGATGCTGAGCCTCGAGTGCGATCAAACTAAACTTGTGATGTGGCAAACACTGATGCGGGTTGGCAGAACGGGCATTATGGAGTTAGCAACATATCGCAAGGTGTGTCGGAAACGCGCAAAAATCATGCAGGGTTTTTGCGAGCAAGACCTCGAGGAATTTTGATTTCCTCCTTCGGCGTTCCAGAGAAACCTCCACATGAAAGGAATGCATAGAAGCGAGCTGCGGAAAGCGCAAAATCTGCTGCAAAAACCAACATATTGGCTGTCAATACACATGCAATACAACGGGGATAAGGAACCAAGGAAGCGGGGTGCCAAAGGGATTGGTCAATGCCCAAATTTAACTGCCAAGACGCAGATCATGGTATTTGACTTGGCAGCCCACCTGGGCTACTTTTTGTTGTTGTCTGTGTGGAATGCATCAGGCTGGCTATTGGCGGCGTAGGCACTTTCTACTTGCATCTTTTTAC